ACACACACACACACACACACATACGCGCGCGCATGTTAGCCTCAAATGAATTTCATGGATAATTTAAATATCTTTATAATTTTACTTATGAAATTTTTTTTCTTTACCAGAATCAGATAAAATGTTGCCCTTTCCCAGACTTTTCTTCTCCAGGCTATTCAAAATGAAGTCTTCTTGAAAAACATGAAGTAGCTGTGTTTTTCTGCCATGCTGGATGTGAATAAATAAAAAACAATTTAAATTGCCAAGTAAGTGATTTACCTAAATTGTCTGCAGTTAGAATAAATAGTAAACTTACAAGTTCAGTAATGGGATCTAACTCAATAATGCATCCTGGTCTCGCTGTTGATTGTTGACTTACAATGTTAAACACTTCACCAACATATTTCTGTTTTAAAAAAAAAACAGAGATATTTTCTTAACTTAGTTATGAAGTTTATTAAAACTATCAACATTTACAAAAATAATCGGTTAATCCTGGGGAAAAAAAAATCCAATTTTCCTTGGTTTTGTAAGAAGTCAACTAACTTAGCCATGAGGTCTCTTCCAAGATTCTAGTCTACGCACCTTCCTGGAGATTTCAAAAGCACTACAATGTAAATTAGAATCAAATAATTAAGGATAATGATTAGTTGTTTTGAGAGAAAATTATTTCATATCCAGTAGTATATAAACCTGACCCCAATGATAAAAAGAACAGTTCCTGTGGCCAATCCTTTGTAAACAGTGATTCTAAAATATGGTGGGGCCTTTGGAAACAAGCTGAAGTTTAAACAGTGATTAAACAGTGGACCTCTGGAAATAAGTTAAAGTTATATACTTCTTTCCTAGTAATAAAAGGTTATTTTTTTTTATCACTGTGTTAAAGGTAGCCAAGTGTAGTACAGAACTCAGTCAGGAAGACTTGGGTTGAAATCCTACTTTTAACACATACTGGATACATGAAACTGGGCAAGTCACTTAATTTATCACTATCTCAGAAGCAACTTGTAGAAGACTACAAGATGCAGACAAATTGCTGGTCAGTATTGGTAAAAAGAGTGTCCTCATTGGGAGCTGCCTACAATGATAAAATTCCAAATGCAATGAAAACATAATGGTTACTTTAAAAGTGATATACAAATGAAAAAGAAGGTAATAAAAAAGACGGACAATAAAAGTTTTAATTTATGAAGACTCAACTATTTTTATGGTAGATTCTATAAACACTATCTTAAAAGAATATACTTGATAGCTACTTAATGAATTAACAAACATCTATTAAGCACCTACATGTGTCAGACATTAGGGGAAACATGTTCCTAGATAAGTAAATACAGGATATATACAAAACAAGTATAAAGGAATTTCCAGGTTGAGTAAAATAACATCTGGATCAAAAAAGCCTGAAAAGAAGCATGTTAAAATATTAACATTTCACTTGCTTTATTCAATCAACAAAATTTATTAAGTTTCTTCTATGTTCCAGGCATTCATTACATAGAAATAAACATGTTATGCCTATTATTTTAATTTGTGCATCTAATAATTTCAGATTAAAAATCACATAGGTTTTATAAGATTTACATAAAATCATTTCACTTACAGAAATTTCTGGGTTGGATAGCTCATATAGAAGTTTTTTGGCATCAGTGACAGCTTCATACAATCTCAAATATTGTCCATCACTTGCCACAAAGCAAGCACTAGGAGAGTTGCAATAAGCACCTAAAAAGATTGATGAAAATTTTAAATTCAGCAATTTAAAGATAGTGTTTAGATTCTTCATTATCTTGAATAAAAAAGAAAACAATATGATGCTTACCTAGACAGTAACTAGGTATGAGGGTAGGTAGCCATGCCACATTGGAAAAGGCCGAAACATGAAGAGAATTAATCCTTGCAAGTTCTGAAACACCTCCAGAAAAAGACAATGGCCCAACTGGATCAACCCTCCAAAGAATAAGTTCACTATAAACTGCATTTGGATCCTGGAACGTTACATCTACAGTGCTTCTACTATGCTCTCCTAATGAAATTTCCTCAGAGTTTAAAGTATCATAAGGCTGTTTCTGATTGTCAATGTCAGGTGTCCTTAATGCATTATGATGGGATGTTGTTAGTAGCAATGGTAATACTGAATGGCAAGCTAAGTCATTAAGATGAAAGCGATGACCACAGTATCTAGATTTATGGGAAATACTGAGCACTGTAGAAAAGGCAGATTCTTCTGCAAAGCTGACTAACCACTGATTCAAGGATCCATCTGCATGCTTTGAAATCATCATGACATTAGGAGTGAAGATACTTAATTTTAAACTATTAGTTGATTTACTATGACCAGAAGAGATGAGCATTGATGTGGAACGTGTGAGGCCAGAGGGTTTTTGTTTGCCTTGCTGAATAGCCAAGTCAACATTCTTGGTACAAGCATACATCACTATGCTTCTGCAGAGAGAATTTGCATCACCCGTAGGGAAAGCTACTGGAATTCTGGAAACAAATGACACCTAGGTTAAAAAAAAATAAGCATGCGTTAAAATGAGCAGGTTGTGTGATGATATAAAAAGTAGAATTACAAATAAGCAAGTGTATAAAATATTAAACAAAGTAGGATACCAGCTGAGATAGTAACAGTACCTGCACCTGGCGAAACATACCAGGCTGGTATTCATCCAGCCAATCCACGTGCCAAATCAGCAAAGAACCATCCACTGGATGAATACTGAAAAGCATGTCTGCATTTTTACTCCACTCAGACAGAAGCACTTCAATCTGATGATCAATAATAGCAGATGGTAAGGGTACACAGCCTGAACTGGGTATATTTTTTTCACTACTCAACTCTCTTTTTTCAGGAACTGCTTTCAGATCATCAACACCATCATCTGTTTCTGGTAGAAAAAAAAGGGTTGATGAGTTAAGTAAATGCAATTAAGTAACAAATTTAACAAGAATTACTAGAAAGGCAATAAAGTTTAAATTAGTATCTAGGTTTCATAAACAAAAAATTAAAAAAGAAAATTTTTACTTTAGGGATATGTACAGCACTCTAGGCCATCTCTGTAAAATATTTTAAAGTTTTGTTTTAATAATTTTATTATTTTAGAGTTAATCAGTTTCTAAAATAATACTTATAAACACTAGTCCTAATATAAACTCAGCCTTCCAAGAAAGGATATCAACATGAAATTTGCAGCCTTTTCAGACATTAGGACAATCAGGAAAGTGATTCAATGCTTAATCTCATTTCAGTTGTTCTATAAAGATTTACCAAAAGGGAGTAACAAGTGAAATCTTGCTACTTTACTAACTTAATGTTAAGTTAGTGCTTATGTTCTCCAATTACAATTAATATTTCATCTTCTCTTTGCAACCAGAAAACATAATTTTTAAAATTCAAAATCAATGTATTTACCTCAGTGTAGCAAGAATTTAAGAAAAGTTTCTAGTTCAATGTTATAGGTGTGCCTTGTTAAGATTTTCCTGAACCTAAGCAAGCAGTTAAGGGGAGTTTTTAAAATAAGTTTTTATTAATGTCTACAGCATTTCTAAATATACTGCACTGAAGGCTACTTTTAAAAACAAATCTGTATTAAGCCAGATGTACCACAGTTTCTGAGGAGGATATAATTTGTAAGCAGGTAAGTAATACAAGATGATTTGACAAGAGATAACACTAGCAACAGGAAGGATTCGTTAAAGATTTCATGTAGGAGGTAGCACATAAGCTGATCCTTGAAGAAAGCTAAGGATTCTAAGAAGCAGAGGTGAAAGAAGATGACAGACATTTCATTCTAATTCATTTTCCAACAGCAGCTCTGCTAGATCTTCTCTCCAGGAGCATCTGGCATGCCTAAGATAAATTCATCATCTGAAATCTTGTCACTATGAAGACTCAAGACTTGTTGATAACTCAATACCTCCTTCGCCCCTTCAGCTGTCCACTGACTGGAAGACTGGAGGGCAGAGACATAAACTCCTCCCACAGCCTTCCCTTTAGAGAGCGTTCAGAACTTTCCAGGTAACTTCGTTTTCTTTCAGCATCTCTGCTTAGTTTCAACTCCACGAACATCATGCCCCAGTTGGGTACCCCTCAATCCACATATCCAACCAATGACCAAATCTTGCTCTTTCTACCATCACACTATCTCTCTACTCAGGCACAACCTTAATTTAGATGAGGCCTCATTACCCTTATCTGGATTATTGCAAGAGTCATCTAATTGGTCTTCCTGCCTCAAATCATTCTTGAAACCAATTGATTATACATAGCAGTGGCCATATGATTTGTCTTACTTACCCTTCTTATAATTCCTCTACTCAATAAACTCTAGAATCAAATAAAAACTCCTGTTTAGTTTTTAAAGCCCTTCACAACTTGGAGCTAACCTACCTTTCCAGGTATACTCTTCCTCCTCCTCCTGCACTGTGTGATCTGGACAAACTGACTTTGTCTCTGTTCCTCATTCAGAGTATTCTTTTGTCTCCATGCCATTGTACCAGCTTTCTTCTTTGTCTGGATTATACTCCCTGCTCATTTCCACCTCAGAGATCTCCCTCTTACTTCAAGATTCAGCTCAAGAACCAGCTTCCAAAAGAGGCTTTTCTTGATCCACCCCATTGCAATTGCTAGTGACCTCCCTACCTTGTATTTGTTCATGTTAATTATCTTTATATTTATTCTGTATTCACATATGTATATGCTTACTGTTTCCTCCCTTAGAACAAAAGCTGCTTGAGAATAGGAATTGTTTCATTCTTTTTATTTGTATCCCTAGTGCCTGACACAGGAAGCACCTAATAAATGCTGACTGATTGCAGTTACATGATCAAACTTAGGCTAAAGAAGATCTGGCAGCTGAATGGAAGATGGATTGGAATGTAAAGAGAATGGAAGGAGGGAGACCAATTAGGAGGCAATTTCTAAAGTATAGGCAAGAGGTAAAGAGGGTCTGATTCAGAGAAGTGACCAAGTGAGTGAAGAACAGGGGATGAATGTGATTAATTGTGAGGCAGAATCAACAAGACCTGGAAATTGATATGGAGCTGAGGTAGAGGTAAAGGTCAAAGAGGATTTCAAGATTTAATGTAAGTACAGTGGTATCCTCAAAAGAAAAGCGTAAGTTTGAAGGAACGATATATACCTTAATGGGAAAGATAATGGGTTCTGCTTGGACATGTTGACTGAGAAAAAGACTAGATATCTAAGTAGAGATGAATAGTAGTGATGTGAGACTAGTAGCAGATGTGAAACTAATCAAGAGCGATTAGGGCTAGATATATAAAATAAAAAACTGAGAATCATCTGCACCAGAGATAGCTGAATTCATGGAAGTTGAGATCACCAAGAAAGGGTATAGAGAAGGAAAAGAGATTCTCGGACAAAACTTTGGGGAACCTCCACAGCTGTGGGAAAGGATTGGTAATCCATCAAAGGAGACTGAAAATGAGTGGTTTGGCCAGAGATGCTGGAAATAGTGACACAGGAGCAAAAAAAGGAACTAATATGGAACTAGGATACAAGAGGAAGGAGTGGTTAACGGTACTCAAACCTAAAGACAGGGCAAGAAGAAGGATGAGGCATGAAAGAAGCCAAGCACACACTGATTAATCTTGGATAAAGTCGTTTCAGGCCAGTGGCTGGACCTTAAAGTAGATTACAAGGGATTATAATAACAGTGGAAGAAACTGATTGTGGGGGAGGGGAAGCATGAGAGGTAGGGAAAGTTTGGTCACACAAATGAAAATTCTAGTTTATATTTTCTTGAGGGCAAAATCTTTCTTATAATTCTTAGTATTCCATATAATACCATATACAGTACCTTGACATATTAAGCATTCAAATATATGATTACTTATCTTTAAGATATAAAAATGCATATGTGTACTGAAGAACAACTTGATTGAATCAAATTATTTTAGATATTCCTTATTTTTCTTAAGCCATTACCTTCATCAGATTTTCCATCCACCTGATTAGATTCTTCCATACTGGTTTCTGAAGGTGGCTGTTCAAAACTCTTTCGAAGCTGCTGTAAAAAGACCTCCATTGATAAAGTAAAATGCAATTCTTTATTGTTAAGCCAGTGTACAACAAAAGGCCCACTCTTCTCTTCATTCTCACCAAGGCTGAGAGATGTAATAGAAGGAAGTAAAGGAATGTCTACAAAGCAAAAATGGCAAAAATTAACTACTTGCTACCTGATCACATGAAACATATTAAGCTTCGTATTTTTGTCATTGGTTGTCACATAAAGAATCATGAAAGGTTTAAAATAAATGTAACCTACACACAGGCCACTCCACATGTTCTCTCACAATCTATAAGTAATTAGATAAGAGGTCATTTTAATATGTCTATAACAGAAAAATTAAAATCATGTGGCCAACTTTATCTTGTCTAATTTATGATATATTTTATTTTTAGTCAAGTCATCTGAAAGATGTGACGTGTTTAATAACCCTATATTAATAATGTTAGGACTGAATTGTTGTGATTAAAGAGTATATTTACATATTCTCAAATAAGTGTTCAAGAAATCACACAAATTATACAAAGCAAACATTATCCCTCTTACGGAAAATTATAACGTCACAGCCTCAAAGGGATTTAGTTAGTAGACGATGATTTATCTGAGGCAATCAAACATTTTTCCTTAAATCAGTTAATGTTGGAGGGGCAACAGGAATATAGGCACACTCTATTTGCAGCACCGAAATGATCTAACCATACTACAAAGTAATCTGGAATTATGCAAGATAAGTAACTAAAATATCCACAACTGTTTTTCCCAGAGCTCCCACTGCTAGATGTATACATATCCCAAAGATGTTAAAAACAGAAAGGAAGTTCCCTTCCACACCAAAATATTTATAACAGCCTTTTCAATGGCAGCAAAGCAGTTGCCCATCAACTGAGTAGGACTGACTAAAATAGATGGTTTATGAATGCTGAATTTGAAGATTTTAGATAAACATAACCTGTGAAACTTATATAAACTACACAAAATAAAGAACAAGGAAAGCAATATTTCCAATGACTACAAGTAAACACAAAGAATAACAACAAAACAAAATTGAATATGTAATTACGATGATCAAGCTTGTCCCAGAAGAAGAGACAATGCACCTCCTATCCTTTGCTAGACAGATGGAATGTGGGCATGAAATACTGTACATGCCAACAGCCACAGGTGATTTTTTTTTGCTGATGTGTTTTTTTTTCTTTTTTGCTGTAAGGATGGGGAAAAGATGGGAAAGGATATATTCAAAAATGTAAATGATGTAAAAACTAAAGATTATCAATAATTATTTTTAAAAGAAGCCCTGGAGAAGATATATCAAATAAAAAATGTACCTGATTACTGGAGAGCCAATATTGATAGTTTATGTTTCAAAACTGGTTTGGAATGCCAAAATTCCTAAAGCATTTCTATATTTCAATTTGATATTCTGAAAGTAATATCATTAATAAAATTTGAATTTTAAAATCATCTTCCCTTAATCATTCAGTGATAATTCTAGAACTTATTTAAAGACATGACTGCCTTCTATTTATTTTTTAATCAAAAGAAAGCTGATTCTTCCACAAAGTTCTACTCTATTATCGCATCTTGGTATACAGGACACCCTGGGTTCATAAGAATTATGGTAGCAGAACACAGATTCTGGATGCTTCTACCATGTGGCACAGCAGAAAAAATGGGGCATTTGAACTCAGAAGACCTGGTTCAAGTCTCAACCGTGCCACTTACATCTCTGAGCTTCAGTTTCTTTATCTATAAAATGAAGGGGTGGCTTTCAATAACTTCTAATATGCCTATTTTCTGAGGAACAGCCTCACTAAAGCATTAAAAGTCTCACCACCAGTAAATTAACCACATGGTGATGAATTATTTTATCACGGCAAACCTGTGGTCATGTTCTGCTGGTGCAACATCCATGGCAGAATGGTGGAAATGGTAATAAAGGATCTGAGATTCACATTAACTTAGCTACTGGTACCTAAATGTGACCTTCTTGTCAATAATCAATGGACACACTAATGGAGGAGCTGAATCATATTAACCTTCTCACTATGAAGGAAACCATAAGACAGAAGATATTATGGGTAAATGGAAAGATGGCTCATAGGAGAGCTATTCTCTCAACCTTAAAAAAAAAATTCACATGATATTAACATTACTTAATTCTAAGCAAAACCTTGGAAAAAGTTGTGAACACTCATTAATTCTACTTCCTCTCCTGTCATTCACTTCTCAATCATTTGCAATATGGTTTTGTACATAAGGTCCAATAGCAACAAGTGGCAATCTAAAACTGCCCTCTCCAAAGTTACCAATAATCTTTTAACTGCCAAATGATGACTATTATTCAATACTCATACTTCTGGACCTCTGCATAGCATCTGACACTGTTTACTACCCTCTCTGTCCATATATTATCTCCTTTCTGGGGTTTTGTGACACTGTTCTCTCTTGATTCTCCTGTCTGACCACTGCTTCATTATCTCTTTTGCTGATTAATCATCCTTATCTCATCCCCTACACTTGGTGTATATACTCAACTTGGCACCCACATTCCACATTTTGTTACCTATAGAATGCAAAAGTATGACACGCATGGTTTTAGTACTAAAGAGTCCCATGATACTACTTTACCCTAAAGCTTTTTTTGGGGAGCCAGGGTTATTACCTGTGGCTGGGTTGATGCTGGCTGCAATATGAAAGTGGCAAAGTGCATTGGCTTGCAGAGGGGTATTCCTATGGACCTGATGAGGATTCTGCTGATGTGGCAGGTAACCCGTATGTGCTACAAGTGCAAGTGATCTTCTTCGTCCTCTACGAAAATGCCTCAGGTTTACCTATGTGGATAAAACTGTTTTTTAGAGTGCCCTTATTCTCATAAACTACATGTATTCTTAATATGTTTGTTTTATGAGCTATAAATACATTGACAACTGACTAACAATGCTCAAGAGCCTTCTCTCCTCAAGTGATCAGATGTATTAACTCCAACACTATTTCTCTAATTTATTCATAACCTCACAAGTTTTAGGTAAAAAAAAAAAAAGCTGAAAAGAGAAACTTTATGGCCACCTCAGTTCTCTTACTCAGATTACACTTATTTTCTTCAAATCAATAGGGCTTGTTAGTCATCTGGTAAATTTTTAAAAATTAGTTACTTTCTATATTGGAAAAATACAGTAAATGCTTCAAAAATTTTGTAGCAACATTTTCTTTTCCTGAGTCTTGGGGTTTGTTTTTCTTTTGGTGAGGCAATTAAGGTTAAGTGACTTGTCCAGAGTCATACAGCTAATGAGTGTTATGTGTCTGAGGTCTCATTTGAACTCAGGTCCTCCTGACTCCAGGGCCAGTGCTCTATCCACTGCACCACCTAGCTGCCCCGAGTCTTAGTTTTTTAAACTTATCTAAGTTAAATATAATTGAACTTAAGATTAAGGTCATATAACTCAATCATCTATAAAACACAGAATTCAAGCTGGGTGATCTCCATTGTTCCTCTATGACTTAAAAGTTGTGTTTTAAAAATCATTCCCAAAGCTTGTAGTAAAATAAGACATACAAACCATAGCACTCACTTCTAAAGCATTTTGAACTCTTTCCTTACTGGAAGCATTCCTCTTGAAGTTATTTGTTAAGTTAACTGGATCAGTCCAATGGTTGTAGTTTCCTTCATATAAGAGACTATCATTTGGGAGAAAAGTCTCTACCCATAGGCGGCACACATTATCTTTGCAGCAAGTCAACAATACATTACATACTGAAGCCCTGTGGAAGAAAACAATATTGAGAATAATCCAGTACAGAAAATTAGTATGGCAATCATGGAAATTATTTAGTATTATTTAGACATTTAATTTTTAAAGTATCAATGAAGTTTATAGTATATAAACATAAATATTTAATGTGTTCAAAAGGGCAACTATACAGTCTTGATTATATAAGAAACCTCCACTTCAATGCAACACGACTTGCCATACCATGGTACTTCTCTCTATTATTCTTAATTCAGTAACTACTTTGATTTCCAAAACTATTCCATGATCTGAGGTAGCATGACACAATCACAAAAAAAGTAAAGCAAAACACTTTTTTTTAAAAAATAAGTGTAAAACCTATTAGATTGGCCAACATAACAAAACAGGAAAATGATAAATGTTGGAGAAGATGTGAGAAAATTGGAACACTAATGCATCGTTGGTGGAGTTGTGAAATGATCCAATCATTTTGGAGAGCAATTTGGAACTATGCCCAAAGGGCTGTAAAAATGTGCATACCCTTTGACCCAGCAGCAATAGTACTTCTAGGGCTGTATCCCAAAGAGATCATACAAATGGGAGAAAGACCCACATGTACAAAAATATTTATAGCAGCTCTTTTTGTGGTGGCAAAGAATTGGAAATTGAGAGAATGCCCATCAACTGGGGAATGGCTGAACAAGTCATGGTATATAAATGTAATGGAATACTATTATGCTTAAGAAATGATGAGCAGGCAATCTTCAGGAAAACCTGGAAAGACTTGTATGGACTGATGCTAAGTGAAGTGAGCAGAACCAAGAGAATGTTGGACATAGTAACAGCCACATTGTACAATGACTAACATTGATAGAATTAGCCCTTCTCAGCAATGCAAGGATCTAAGACATCTCTAAAGGTCTTGTGATGGAAAATGCTATCCACATCCAAAGAAAGAACTATGGAGTTTGAATGCAGATTGAAGTACACTATTTGCTGTTTTTTTTTTGTTTCCTCTTTCTGGTGGTTCCTCCTATTGGTTCTAATTCTTCCTTACAACATCACTAATGTGAAAATGTTTAATAGGAATGCAATATGTATAGTCTATACCAGATTCCCCATCTTTGGGAAGGAGGGGGAGAGAGGGAGAGAAAAATTTGAAACTCAAAAACTTATGGAAGTGATTGTTAATAAATCAAAATAAATTAATAAAAAAAAGGGAAAAAATAAATTTAAAAAATCCTAAATTGAAAGAAAGGCTGAATTTCAGTTTGTGGTTAGAAAAAATGAAGATGTTAGTTTTTTGGGTTTTTTTCCACCCCCACCCAACCTCATGAAATCTATCCAGGGAAACCCTGGGAGTCCACTGACTCCACGTTAAGAGATCATGGTCTAAAATAATCTATGCTGATTTTTTTAGTTATTAATTATGGTCTGAATCCATTCTTGCTATGTGGTTTTTTACTAAGTGTAGTCACACAGTATTTATGGACATTTTCCACAATAAGCACTAACACAGTACTGGAAGTATATATATTTTTCTCTCAGAATATGGAAATATTGAGTTTCAAGAGTTAAAATGGCATTTTCAAACATGTATTACTTTCCTAGTTAGTGACTTTTTCCTCCTGGTGAGCTTATCTCAATACAAATTAAAGGAAACAAGGAAGGAAAAGAGGAAGAAAGGAAAGGAAGGAGAAAGGAGGAAGGAGGGACTTATTAAGCATCAACTGTGTGACAGACAGTGTGCTAAGCACTTTACAAATATCTCATTTGATCCTCACGACAACCCTAGGAAGTAAGTGTTATTATTATTTGCCTTTTACAGTTGAGGAAACTGAGGCACCTAGTTATCTCTAAGGATTAATGGTGAGTTCATTAGTTACCCTCATGGACAATCACCACGTAAAAGGCAATAAGCCCTTTCAAAAGAATTTGTTTCCAGGAGTGATTCCATATATAAAGAAAAAAGAAAAAAAAACTAAACCCATACCCTTCAACGGAATCTTTTTCATTATGCTCGCCAAATATAGCACATTTTTGTTTTATTACTACCTTCCCTTTTAGTCTGGCTTATTAAGTATCTGTTTAACACATATTTTCAAAAATTATACAACATATTGTCACTCTGGATGCTGTCTAGTATGCATATGGAAGACAGCATGAAAAGAAGTTAGGTCCATTGAACCTGAGCATAAACAAAAAAGTCAGGGTGACAGTGATGTTGAAAAACCTGATAAGCAGAAATAAATTAAGATGACCAAAGATATTGGAGAAAAGAACAAGAGGAGTGGTCCAAAATTCATATAAATCAGCAATAAGGAGATGTGTAGGAGCAAAACAAAGTAGATAGTTAAAATGCTGGGCAAACATTCTATAGCCAGAAGATCCACAGAACTTAGAAGAATACGACACAGCAGGTACATGGCAGAGCCACTTATGGAACACTCAATCACAGAGCTTGTCATTGCAAATTCTGGTATTTTATTTAATTTAGGCCAGCCAAAGACCTTATCCCAAGTAAGACCTTAAGATCTACAAATGACAACCAAAAATAAAAGACTGCATGGGGATTAATTACAGTTCTTTGAGAGGCTTTCCTAAACAATTTCTTGATTTTTACAATGGAATATGATTTATTTTTATTCACAATAAAAGCATTAGCTAAAAGGATTAAAAACCACTCACATTTTTATTTCAGCTCATGTACTCGAAATAAGATTTGTAAATGTTGAGAATATCCAGTTTCAGTATGAATGATTTAAAAGAACAGAACTGTCATTCTACTACAGTAACCATCTAAAATATTACTTGGTGGTTGTGAATGTTTCAATGGAAAGACTGTAAACTATTTTATGGCACAAAGCCAAAAGAAAAAAAAGTATATGGCACTGTAATGACTAAATAAGAAAATAATGGAATCAGAAAATAAGATAGAAATATAACTGTCTTCTATACAAAGGAAAACAAAAAACTGGCAGATGTTGTAACTATGTAGCTATATTACTGTATATCCAAATGAAAACTACTTAATTTTTGAAATTGTGATTCTTAGACCAAAAAAAGAAAATTATAAGATTATTAGTACATGAAAATGCTTAACTTGACTTGATTAAATCAAAAATATAAAAATAAAATCGAATAACGATAAACCTGATATATAGATAAAAGTGTAGAATAATTCATTGATGAGACACTTGATTTTGAATTTCAACTCTGTGATTAATACACAGAAGCATGAAAGAGATATGAAGATTATATCTAAGAATTTATAAAAGATAAAACATCAAAAAGATTTGTCATATTCTTATTATATTTTAAAACTCAAACCTAATACTACTTATGTCTCACCAACTGATGGGTGGCATAACTAATCAAGAAAAATAGTAACTGACAGCTGATCAAGAGAGGTCATTATATAGCTATAGTGAACTTATATTCTAGATTTTTTGAGAAAGTCTTAATTTCAAGCAAAGGAAATATCGTTGGGGCAGTTAGGTGGTGCAGTGGATAGAGCTCCGGCCTTGGAGTCAGGAGGACCGGAGTTCAAATCCGGCCTCAGATACTTGACACTTACTAGCTGTGGACCCTGTGTGACCTTAACCCCAACTGCCTCACCAAAAAAAAAAAAAAAAGGAAATATCTTCTAAGAAGTCTTTAGAAAAGGAATATCATTTCATTAGGTCATGAATATTGATATAATATCCAGTCAATGTCCTTATCAACCCCACTATTTATTTGAGCATTCAATCTTCTCAACCTCTGAAGTTCTACAGTTAACAGTTATCTCCAGAAGTAAGCAGAGAAGTCATTATTCACAACGTCTTCAGGTGGCATTCATACCACTGAAAAACTAATCACTGACCTAGGCATATATTTGCTGGTCTTCCGCCAGGAAAATCCATTTACAGCTCTAGGATGTGCCAAGTAAACAAATGAAAAGTCAACTTCTCCTCCTTGTGTTTGTTTTTCTGGACCTCTATCTTGAGAGGTAACTGTTGACCGCCAGCTATCTGTATTATACCATACCTTCAAAAGGCAGTCATCCTAAAGAGAAAAAAATACAACAAATTATGTTAACAACCAAAAAAAGAAAGCAGAGGTGAAAACCATTCACTTTAGAATAGAATTACATGAAGTTTAACTTTATTTGCAAGGAAACAAAATAAGATTTTCTTATAAATCTTCACATTTTGAAATACTTTTGTTATACAAGATTAAGATCCTGTTTCCCATCAGTTTTAAAACTTTCTTTTATGGGTGGTTTGTTAGCTTTTTTTTTTTTAAAGGAAAATTCAAAAATAATGCCCAATGGCATGAATACTAGAGTCTATCAGGATAACTAAATACTAATTGTAGTTTAATAACATGCTTTAAAATTAACAAGTACTTTTATTTGCTCTCTCTGAACTAGATCTGTGATTTCATCTGTGCAGGAAACTCCATTCCAGGGAACAAACTCCCTCTAAAATAGACTGAAAATTGTTTGGCAGTTTATCTTCTTAGAGAATTGCCTCATTTATTTCACACAACAATTCTAAGAAGTATTTCAGGTAATTTTTCATCCCCATTTCACAAGTGAGAAAACCCTGGCCCGAAGAAGTTAAGTGACTTGCTAACCAGACAGTAAATATTTATTAAGCATTTACTATGTGCCAGGCCCTGTGCTAAGGGCTGAAAATACAAAGAGACAAAAGACAATTCCTGACCTCAAAGAGCTCCCAATCTAATAGGGGAGACAATAAGCAAACATACATACAAACAAGCTATATACAGAATAAAAAGGAAATCAAGAGAAGGAAAACACTAGAATTAAGAGGGGTTGGAAAAGACTTCTTGTAGAAGATGGGATTTTAGTTGGGACTTAAAGGAAGGCAGGTAGGTCAGTATGTGGAGATGAGGAAGGAGAGTATTACAGGCATGGGGAACAGCATAGAAAATGCCAAGAGCTCAGAGGAGTGTTTGGTTCATGGAACAGCCAGGAAGCCAGGGTCATTGGATTGAAGAATATGTGATGGGGGTAAAGTGTAAGAAGATCCCTAGGAGCCAGGGGGTGGGAGGGTGGAGCAGGTTATGAAGTGTTTTGGACGACAAACAGCATTTTTGTATTTGATACTCAAAGTGATAAGACACTGGAATTTATTGCAGTGGGAGGGGGGGCGGGAATCAGACCTGCACTTTAGGAAAATCACTTTAGTGGTTGAATGGAGAATGGATCAGAGTGGAGAGAGACTTGAGGTAGGCAGACCTACCAACAGGCTATTGAAGTAGTTGATGCATGAGATGATAAAGGTCTGCACTTCTCTTGTGTATGCCCCCTTCTCTCCTCTGACACTGCTGCCACTCTAGTGCAGACTCTCATCATGGCAGCAATGTCAGAGGACAGAAGAGGGCATATACAAGAGATGTTGCAGAGAAGAAATCAACAAGCATTGGCAATAGATTCGGTATGAGGATATCTCACAGTGAAGAGTATCTCCTAGGTTGTGAGCCTGAGGAACTAGAAGGATGGTGTTGCCTTCTACAGTAATGGGGAAGGTAGAAGGGCAGGGTTTAGGAGGAAGAATAATGAGGTCTCCTTTGGACACATTATATTTAAGATGTCTAATGAATATTTAGCTTGAGATGTCTGAAAAACAATTAGAGGTATGAAACTGGAGGTCAGCAGAGAGATTAAGGTAGGATAGGTGCTTTTGAGAATCATCAGCACAGAGATCCATGTAAAGTAGTATAGAGGGCAAAGAGAAGAGGGCCCAGGGCAGAATCCTATGGGACAACTATGGCTGGAAGGTGTGATCTGGATGAAGATTCAGCAAAGGAGACTGAGGAGTGGTCTGATAGGTAGGAAGAGAAACAGGAGAGAATGGTGTTCTGAAAACCTGAAGAGAAGAGAGTATTAAAAAGAAGAAAATGATCAACAGTCACAAAGGAGGTAGAGAGGTCAAAGAGAATGAGGATTGAAAAAAGGTCTTTGGATGTGGCTATTCTGAGATCACTGGTAATTTTGGAGAGAGCAGTTTCTGTGGAATGATGGGGTTGGAAGCCAGACTGTAGAGAGTAAAGAGAGTGAGAGCAAAGGGAATGGAGGACCTTTTGAGGAGTTTAGCTACAAAGGGCAAAAGAGATAGAGGATGATAGTGAGGATGAAAGATCAAATAAGGTCTTTTTCAGGATGGGGGAACAGGCATGTTTGTAGACAATAGGGAAGGAGCCAGTGGAAGGAAAGATTGAAAATAAAAGACAGAATGGGAATAACAGAAGGGGCAATCTGTTGGAAGAGATGGGATGGAATGGGATCACCTGAGCAAAAAAAGGGGGTTAGCCTTCATAAAGAGTATGGCCATCTCATCATGAGGTGACAGAGGTGAAGGAGGAGTTAATGGCTTGTTGTTATTCAATCGTTTCAGTTGTGTCTGACTCTTTGTGACCCCATTTAAGGTTTTCTTGGCAGAGATATGAGAGTGGTTTACCATTTCCTTTTTATTTCTTTTGGGGGGGGCAGTAAGGCAGTTGAGGTTAAGTGACTTGTCCAGAGTCACACAGCTAATAAGTGTTATGTGTCTGAGGCCTCATTTGAACTCAGGTCCTCCTGACTCCAGGGCCAGTGCTCTATCCACTACACCACCTAGTTGCCCCTGCCATTTCCTTTTTAAGCTTATTTTACAGATGAGGAATCTGAGGCAAACAGGGTTAAGTGACTCGTCCAGGGTCACACAGCTAGTAATTTTCTAATGCCAAATTTGAACTCAGGAAGATGAGTCTTCCTGACTCCAGGCATAGTGCTGTATCCACTGAGCCACCTAGCTGGCAGAAGGTATTTAAGTGATATGAGATGAAGAAGAAGGAACTCAAAACAAACGGCCAATTTTTTTTCTGTAAAATGTGATAAGTTCAAAAGGGAGGTGTATTAGTATTGTCTAGCAATACTGAGGATCCAGTTGAGGTTGTATGACAAATTGTAGAGGACCCAGTCAGAATAACTGTGTGATTTTTCTCTACCTTCATTCAGCAGCAAAGACAGTGGGAGTGATTCAAGGTTAAGGTTGAACAATGCATAATGGACACAAAGTGATAGGGGAGCTAGTGACTCAAGAGGACAATGTAGAGTTGAACTATTTCATCAAGGAGAAAGTGACTAAGGCAAGGGTCCTGGGAGAGAACTAAGTCACATGAGATGGAAGGTCATCGAGTGGGTTTGGTGAGGGAAGGTAGAGGGAGAGGTAGAAAGTCAATTGATTGCTGTCAGATAAGGGACCAGAGGTCCCCAGGGTAATAAACAGTGAGGTCAGATTGTAAAACCATGGCTTTTGTCTCCATGTTAAGGTCTCTTTCCATTGCACAAAATGAAGTAATGGATTTTTTTCCTCTGTTCATTTCTTCTGAAGTCATAAAACATTATTCATTCATGGGTACAGGTTCCTAATGTTTTAGGACACACTCTTTGGAAGGCTTATAACTTTTTTTAAAGGAAATTTTAAAGAATTTTAAGGAAAATGATATGAAGTTAATAAAATTATGTTAAATGTATATTAATATTTAGATAATTTTCCATGCAATTAAGTGACCATCAGAAGCAAAATATTTCAAAAATAGATATGAGTCTATATTTGAGCTACCATCTACATTAAACTCAAGATCTCAAGTTTTATTTATACTTCTACCTGGATACTATTATTGTACTACTACTGTTAAGGTATTTTTGTTTCATTTTGTTCTTTTTAAATTGTCAAAAATGAACAAGTTGTAGTAGTACTACAATTTTTCAGAAAGTATTTTTGAACCTGCAGCAAGTAGATTCTCTCCTCCCCAAACCAAAAGCCACCTAATTTTTTTTTTTCACCAGCTCTAAACATGGCTACCACACCTTTGTCAACTTCTGATGAAGGAGAAGGGAAACAGGAAAGACATGGAGATCTGCTATAGTGAGAAGCATAGAGCAAACAATAGAGACCTGATCTGCCCAAGGCTCTCAAGATGAATTTTTTTTTTTTGGCTAGGCAATGGAGTTAAGTGATTTGTCCAGGGTCACACAGCTAGTGAGTGTTGTGTCTAAGGCCGCATTTGAATTCAGGTCCTCCTGACTCCAGGGTTGGTGCTCTATCCACTGCACCACCTAGCTGCCCCTCAAGATGAATTTCTAACAGAATATTAAAGTAAACTCCCTTGTTTTTCTTTCTGGCTAAAAACTAAATGTAGAAACTATATACAAGTGCATCCCACTCTTACAATTTAAAAGAGCCCTTGAGATATTACTATTTGGAGGATACTCCAGTGCAAAAGAGAGCACTATGAATATAAAACTGCTTTCCATGACACGTGAGTTTTTTTAGATATATTGCTCTTGAAGCAATGGCTTACCTCACAATGTGCACAAGCAAGAAATGTTTGCAAATGCCTTTCAAAGAATTCATGTCATATGATACAAGTTCCTGCTTTTAAATATAGTTGCTGCACTTTAAAGAATGGTCACAACACCAGTCTAAAACATATTTGCAGTCTGAATTTCGTTCGTGTGAAAGAACCATTTAGTTACCTAAAATTACCTAAATAAAATCAATCCAATGACAATAATATTGTATTCTCTGTCTCTAAATACAAAACAACATATAGTCAGAAGTTTTAATATTTACCTTTCCTGCAGTAGCAAAAAATTCTCCATCAGGTGAAAATCTCATTAAATGAACTTGAGAAGCAGTCCTATAAAATATACCAGCAATTACCTTCATCACTAAGCATTTCAAGGATAACAAAATTAAGGAAGCATTCAATACCACTTTTCTAGTCTATACTTGAGCAATCTATTTAAATGCCAATGAGATATTCAGACTAGCATACCTGAACATGCACTGCTCTAGTATCAAATCCACTGCTATATTCTCTCAACATCTTACAAACATAAGCCAACAAAAAACTTCAAGATTTAGAAAATGAGGTATCAAATCAGTTAAAACCTAAGATGATTTCAAAAGTCAAAATCTTTATATCAATTCTATATAGTAATACAAAATACATAAAAAATTATCGCTTCAAAGATGGAAGATTTAAGGACAGAGAGTTAATTGAAAAGCTGAGATTTCAAAACCAGAGCTGCTGGTGACTAGATTTCTAGAATTTCATAGATACTTTCCAACATCAAGAAGTTTGGACCAGTAACAGCAGTATTTTCCAAGCTAAATTATCTGATGGGGTTTAACTGAGCAAGAGCAGTACTAGATATGGACATGACTGATTAAAATATAATCTTCTCCGATACTTTTTTGAGACTATTAATACTGTCCTTTAATTCCTTCAAAACAAGATCTAGTTCATTTCCCATTTTTATTTTATTTCCTCTAAATGGAGCTGTGCTTTACCTACCTACTTAATTTCTCCTCCTTTCCCCACCCACTCCCTACCCCATCCATCCTTAGAGAAATAATAGCTAATCTTTTCCCACTTAACACTAAACAAGATAACATCCTCTCCCTAATTCTACAAACATGGAAGTGTTTGAGCTTTGTCTTTAAAAAAAAATAGATAGATAAATAGATATAGATGCTATATAAAGAGATCTGTAGAACTATTCCTATGCATAGGGAGTAAAAAAGAAGGAAGAAAAGGAATTCCAAATGAAGAATAATAAAACCTATCTTTCCCATCTCCTTTTTGATTTTACAGTGGTTTCTAATGCCTAAAAGCTAAATTAAGGAAGAGCTATCAAACATTTTCAAATATATTGTGGTAAAGTAGAAAAACCAGTGCCTCTGGAGTCAGAAAACCTCCTGAGTTCAAATCCTACCTCTGATTGGTTGTTGTTGTTTGTTCTTCATTTTTGTAGTTTTATTTTTTATTTTTATTAATCTATTTATTTTTAGTTTTCAACATTCACTTCCACAATATTTTGAGTTCCAAATTTTCTCCCCATTTCCCTCTTCCCCCCACTCCAAGATGGCGTTCATTCTGAATATTCCTTCCCCTAATCTGCCTTCCCTTCTATCAACCCCACACTTCTCTTATCCTCTTCTCCTTCCATTTTCCTGTAGGGCAGTCATCCTTCATTTTTTAATAGAACCTTTGACTCTTACTACCTGTATGACTTAAGTCCCTGGTTCTTAACATTCCTTTCTGGAAAATAGAATGATTAAGACTAGATAATATCTGATGTTCCATCTAGTTCTACAAATCTATAACATTAAAATAATTTAAAAACTGATTTCATTTGCATATTTGCTACTTACCTACACTGCCAGATACATCGCCAGTCCCCAAAATTAAGATCTGTTTTCTCAGGATTTTCATCTTCAGATTGCTTCTCCAAGTTATTATTTGACCAAAGTTGCAAACAACTAGAACCAGTTAAGAGACGACTGCCTAAAATGATATGGGGCATAATTTATTGTTTCTCTATAGTACATTATATGTACTATATACTCCATACATGTACTGAAGTTTTATGGAATATTCCATGGTTTCCCTCTCCCTCCACATTCTTAGCTAAGAACTTTGCCTTATATCCACTGAAAAAAAAATTCAGGTCATTCCCCGAGGGCTGTCTTCTCCCTTTCTCTTCTCACCTCACACCATGCAAATGACCTGCCACTGTCTCCTCCTTCACCCCTGTCTCACATGGCAAGGCAAACCACTGTATATGCAAAATTGATCCATTCAGTCTTCTCCAGAAGACTGGCTCCTCTATATTTCCTACTCTCTCACTAAACTTCAATCACTCCCCCACCTACTGGATGCTTCCATACTTACTACAAACATGCTTATGCTCCCCTCATCCTCAAAAAATCCTCATCAGACCAACTGTCCATCCCTGCTAGCAATCATCACATGTCTTTCCCTTTCATGGCCAAACAACTTCAGAAGGCAATGTACAATTAGTGCCTTACTTCCTTCCCTTTCACTGCATTCTGGCTCCAGTTTCATTCCTCGACTGAAACTGCTCTCTCCAGAATTACCAATGATCTATTAATTGTCAGATCTAATGAGCTTTTCTCAATCTTCATCTTTCTTGACTACTTGTTGCCTTTGACAACGTCAATCACCCTCTTTTTCCTTGTACTCTTTTTTTTCTCTAGGTTTTTGCCACCCTACTCTATCTTGGTTGCCCTCTTTGGACTGCTGCTTCTTAGTTTTCTTTGCTAAGCTTTCATCCAGGCCATAAACTAGGTGTTCTCCAGGGCTGTCTTGGACCTTCTTCTCTTCTCCCTACACGCTATTACACTGGGTTTTCTCATCAGCTCCCATGGATTCAGTTATCATCTCCAGGGTAATGACAATCAGATTAACTTATCCAGCCCTAAGCTCTCTCATGACCTACAGACTCACATTTCCAAATGCCTATTGGACATGTTAAATTAGATGATCTGTAGACATCTTAAGCAAAACTCATAAACTAAGATTAAGATTAAGAAGATAACCAATAGTCATTGTATGCAGACTGAAATCCATCACCAAATATACTTAAGGAAATGTTCATTCTTTTTTACTACCATTGTTCAAGTGAAATTTCAACTATCTTCTGAATGAAGAGCACTGCTACAGCCAAGTAATAGGCCACTGGCCATTACCCTTCCTTCAGTTCTGCAGTAAATCAAAATAATGATAATACTTTTAAAATGATCTCGCCTAAAAAATTACATATCAGTTTATGGAACATAAATGGAAACTCAAGATATATTTTTCTGAATATGTTCTAAGATCTTTTATCCCAGGATATCAGGAAATTTCTCCTCAAGTTGAAATTTTACCAAACTAAAATTTAATATGAGAACAGTATCATATCTAGGAAAAATACCATGTTTCATTTAATCATGTTTTCTTACCTGTAGGATCCCAAGTTATATTATGTGCTATGGACTCCAGAAAAAATTGGCCACTTTTCTGCCACTGATTATATAATTCCTAAAATCAAAAGTAATAATTAAGATAAGCACCTCTTTCCACTCTTCAATAAATGTACAAATTTGCTGCTTATTCCCTTCGCAAATGGAATCATCTGCAAAGAAGGGAAGTTCAAATAATTCAGTTAGCTATAAGTAAATAAGATGAAGAAAACTGATATAAATATGGCCTACTCCCAGGAACTCAATCATCTTTCTTTCATACTACTTGCCCATTTACAAACTCCACACTATAATTTCTATCCCCACCATAGAAACAACTGAATGTTGAATAACAGGACATAATCCTTTGGCCATTACTGACATAAGTTGCTTCACATTCAAACATTTAATTTTATTATGCTGATGTTCATCTGTTTAACAAACATTTAAACTTAGTTGTTAATTCATCTCTGTGATTCTCACACTCAATGTAATTTGTTCATGTTAAGTTATAATTCATCACCAAGAGGCTATTAGAGTAGAACCAACAAAATAAAAAATAGAATCCAGAATAAGAGAAGTTGTAAAGCTTAATTTAAGATTTCCTATTCATAAAAAAAGTTTTAAGATCTATAGCCACAAAAATCAAGTGATATTGCTTTTTTGTAAGGACCTAAATGTTTTCTCTGAGACTTTCTTCTAAAGTAACTCAGGATTATTATACCTTTCCAAGTCAATTGGTTTCCATTCATAACAGCCTTATCTCTCTATACACATTTATTGCTACTTTTGGAGTCTAAACTATTTCTCCAATAAAGTAATTGCTTTTCCTTCAGTCTTTCCCAACTACTATCATGGTTCCAATTATGTGCACTCAGAAGAGAAAGATAACATAATAACTGCTTCTTTTATTTAATTGATACTTTATTTCATAAAGACATTTTACATAGTAAAAACATTTTTAAATGGCTGTATATTAACTTTTAGCTATTATAAATTCTTCCATCATGTTGTATAATGAAAAGATCAGTCACTTAGAGAGTGAAAAGACTTGGATTCTAGTCTAAGGTCTGTCACAAATGTGGTATATAATCTTGGACAAATTTACCAAACTTCTCTAAATCTCAGTTTCATCAAAATGGAGTTAATATCACCTAATGAGATGCTGGATAAAGTGATTTGAAAAGAATAAAGTCCTATGTAAATATGAGGTACATTATTTTATCTGAATGAAGGATCATTATCCTTCATATTCTTTTGGAAATTTCAAAGGGAGATCCTGAAGGGAGCTAGGAAAAAACTGGTTACTTATCTCTGTCATCTTTCCTAGTCTTAAAATCATTACACATAATCCTGAAATCAGGTAAAGTATCCCAGTTCTTTTTGTTACAGGTCTTATTTGTCACTTTGTTTAAGCCATTCCACTTTTTTACCACACTTTGAAACCCACTACAAACAGGAAATTGTTCATAAGTAATTACAAACTATAATAAAAACAAGAAGAAAGAAAATTGAGGGTGTTAAATATTTCAAAGATACATAGTTCTACTATTTCAAAAAATACATAGTATCTTCTACTACGTATCTTTGAAAGTGTCATAAAGGAAGTAGAAAGGAAAATGATCACACTAGACCAGATTATGGTTATTTTGCAATTACCGTACAGCTTATTGCTAAATTTTGGTTTATCAAGTATTCAAATGCTTATCAATAAAATAAGCAAAGAATCAGTAGAGTCAAAATAATTTCAAGATAGCTCATCTGAACTAGTTTATAGCTATAGTAAAAGTAAAATATATTTAAGCAACTGCTTAATATACCCTTAACAATATAAAATACAGATCCTATCTGTAATTATTTTCCTAAATATTGGTTCATATGCTGTGATTCATACAAGACTAGGAAAAGAATATTCCAATAAAAAAGAAATATAAGAATAATAAGAAATAAAAGAAAAAAAATGATAAACTGCTTACCACATTAGAAGTATTCTTTTGTTTCAGTAGGTTAACTGGCTCAAAAACACAGATAATGTTTCCATACGATGCTGCAATCTTCAAGGAGAAAAATAAAAAATTAATATGTAACATGACAAAAATGTTGATTACATTTTTATGCAGATCGCTAAAATTTTTGCAGCTTTCTTCTCTACAACCTTCTAGCAGAAAAAAATACCTAAGCTTTCTTAGAATTAAAAATAACATACACAAAAAGAACAATACTGTATGAAGATCTACTGTAAATAATTTAGCTATTCTCAGTCATACAATGATTCAAGACAGTTCTGAAGGACTTATGATGAAAGGTGCTGTCCATCTCCAAAGAACTGGTGGCATCAGAATGCAGACCAAAGCATACTTTTTCTTTATTTTTTTTTGGGTCTGTGTTTTCTTTCACATATGACTTATATGGAAATATGTTTCGGATGACCACATATGTATAACCTATGTCAAATTGCTTACCTTCTCAACGGAGGGGAGAAGGGAGTGAAGAAGGGAGGGAGAGAATTTAGAACTCAAAATTTGAAAAAACAGAAAGTTAAATTGTTTTTACATGTAATTAAGGAAAATAAAATATTAAACTTTTAAAAGAATTAAAAATAACATCTTCAAAATTAACATTATTTAGAATTAAAAATAATATTTTCAGAATTAAAATTGCTTCCAGCTCACAATATCTGCACCATTCAAACATCCCTTCCTGATTCTACCTTATGCAGAATTGTGGAAAGACCATTAGATAAAGAATCAGACAACTGGGATTCAATTCCTGGCTCTGCTTCTTACTATTTGTGGCACCTTGGGCAAATCCCTTAATGTCTCTGAGAAGTTTCTGCATTTGTAAAATGAAGCAATTGAATTAAATAATTTCTAACCTTTCTTCTAGTTCTATATCCCAGATTAGATACTAATATCATCAGTATTGAAATATGGTATTTAGAACATAGTTCATAATTCTATTAATTTATTATTCTCCCAAATAAATTTATTTTGAGCCAGGTCGAATGCATAAATCAAAGCTCATACCTGGAATGGCATTTTTTTCAACCACCCCTCAAATATTTCCTTCTTTTAAAATAGTTTGTGACAGTCTCAGAGTTCAGACTATGAACTTTAGAATCTTATCCTGTTCATTTTACGGAAGGAAACCAAAGGCCAGTGAGAAGGGAGTCTAAAGTTAACACAGCTAGTTATCCAGGGCTAGATTCTAGTGCCTTCACTCCCCCATATATAAGAAGCTACCTTGATAAACTGCTCCAACCCACATTTAAAATTCCCTAAATTAAGCAAACCTCTAGTTTCCACAATAACTACCCTATTCTGGGAGTCTCTAAATCCCAACAAAATTACTCACACTAAACTGTCATGCCCCTTTCTAATTCTTCGACCTCTTAAAACCTTCTAAAATTTTAAATCTATATAAGAAACAAGAGAAACTTTGAAATTACACAAAATGTGTTTATCTTTCATTTGTAGCAATGTTTACTCAATATACCTTTTCCTACTTTCATTTAGTTCCGATAAGTAAATTCTCTGAAACTGGAATTTTACTTTCTTCCTTCAATTCCCAATTTGTTCTTCATAAATAAACAAGTACATTAAACTAAGCATCATCTGAGTTGGATTTTACTTATAAAGTAAAAAATGTTCAAAATAGAAGTTAATGCACATAATTCATGTTACGCAAATCAATGTGGCCTAAAACTGCCAAACAGAATTTGGTCAAAGTTGCAAAACTCTAAAGAAAAATAAGCAAAATGAAAAATGTAGTTTAATATAGAAATCTGTATTTTCTCAATATATAGCAGGGAATATTTGCTTAAATGGCAAGTTTTCTGAATCAATGTAACAATAAATTCTAAGTGAACAATTCATTCCATTCTTACCAACACAACCGAGTCATATGTACCCTAAGACTTCTATTTTTTTTTCCACAAAGATCTTTTGCTAGTTAAGCAAGGTACATTTAATTTCAAACTACAGGTCAGATCTAAAATAGCTACAATGTAACAATCTCCCTCCCACTCCCAAAATGAAAAAACTTCAACTACAGACTGGGCAATATATTATGTCTGTTGTACATGGACGATCAAACACAACCAAAAGTTTGGGAAAATAATCAGATTTTTCTAGGGAGAGCTTCAAACAGTCTACCAACAAATAAAGGTGCAGTAATTTGCTTCGATACAATGACTGTCCAACTGATGAATTCATTGAATTTTAAGCATAGGTTCAAACTAGCAGAATTTGCAAATAAGAAAATTTAAGATTAGTATCAGTAAAAGCATCTTAATGAGTAGAGAGATCCATAAGTGAAAAAATGGCTCTGACACTAACTGTATTGTGTTACCCTGGGCAAGTCATTAAATCTCCATATCTATATCTCAGGGCATTTATCTACTAAGTAATAAATGGATTACCTCCCTCTACAGATGAGAGTTCCTGTACCTCAAGTTGACAAAATCTCAGATCATTCTGGTATGCAGAATGTAGGAATGTACAGTATGAATTTTCCAGTAGGAATGTATAGTATGAATTAGAAAAAGAACCTGGTAGGAACACTGTGGTAGGTGGTGTTATACATTCCTCCACAGGCCAAAGCCAGTACTGAAAGAGGGACATAGTACCTAGACCAGGGGTAACTTGTGGCTTTGAGGCCACATGTGGCCTTCTAGGCCCTTGGGTGCAGTCCAAGTTTTTGATGGAGTCCAAGTTTTTACAGAACAAATCCTTCTATTAAGGGGATTTGTTCTGTGAAGTTTGTTTTCAGTCAAAGTGCTGCACCTGAGGACATAGAGGGCCACATGTCCTTGACTCTTAACTTCATGATTCAATATGAGATCTTTTTATGTGAATTTTGGTGTAAGCAAAATAATAAAGGGAATAATTTAAGTTATTTTAAAAGAGGCTCTACATTCATGGAATATTTATCCAACATTAACAGAAGGGGCCCTTAATAGAGAGACTTCTCTCTTAAAGTACCTCCCTTATGCTGATTCCATACATTTGCCAAACAACCTTCATTTGGTTTCATTTGGTTTCCCAATTGATTCCCAAATGAGGTATCTCTCTTTGTAAATTAACTTTCTGACATAAACTAGTTTTAGGTGAGTACGGGATGTGCAAGTCAATTTTCCCAGGGCTTGATTATCCTTAACAACATTGTCTAACTAAATATGTTAGGGTCATGGAGTAGCTAGGTGGTGCCATGGATGGAGTCAGGAAAACTCATCTTCATGATTTCAAATCTGGCCTCAGACACTTACTAGCTGTGTGACCCTGGGCAAGTCATTTAACCTTGTTTGCCTCAGTTCCTCATCTGTAAAATGAGGTGGAAAAGGAAATGGCAAACCACTGCAGTATTTCTGCCAAGAAAACCCCAAATGAGGTCATGAAAAGTCAGACACTACTGAAAAAAAGAGCAGAAAAACATATATGTAAGGGTCATAGGATCATACATTTAAAAGTAAAAGAGACATTAGAGACCATCTAACGCAACTCCCCCATTTTTAGATGAAACAGTAACTCCAGGCCCAAAAAAGATTAAGTGATTTACCTAAGGTCACAAAGATAATGAATTTCAAAGGCAGGGTTTAAGCCAAAGATTTCTAACTCCAAAACCAATGATGTTTCCACAGTACTACATCAGCATAGAAAAAGATGACCAGAGTGTAAATCTGTGTAACTGAGAATATAGTACAATAGCAAACATTCATACAGGGCTTTTCAGTTTTCAGAGCACTTTCTTCATAACATCTCTATGTAGCATTATCATCTATATTTTACATATGTGGAAACTGAGCCTCAGAGAGATTGTGTCTTGCTCCAAGTCACATGACAAATAAGTCTATGTCCAGTGCTTTCTCTGCTTCATCATGCTGCCCCTCTAGAAAACCTAACAAGGAAAATTCAGACAAACACAACCAGAACAAATTATCAGAGTATATCAGAATATAAGAATAATTTTGAGGTCTCTCCGGACCAAATTACTGACCTTGCTCCACCTATGATTATGCAATAGACTAAGAGGTTAGGCATTAAGGGTATGGACTAGGATGATGGCAATAAACAGTAATGGATATAAGAAATATTTTTAATGAAAGACAGGCACGCTCCAAATTGACTAAACTGTGAACAGAGTTAAAGAAGAAAAGGGAACTCAGAGATTCATCTAGCTCAACCCCCTTTACCCTAAAAAAAGAGGAAGTTAAGGTTCAGAGACATCAAGTGACCTATCTAGGGACAAGGGATAGTGAAAATGTTGGCATATGAACCCCCAGTTTCTGAAACCAAACTCAGAATTATTTCCATAGCACCACAAAAATATGGAATAAGAGGATAATAAAAGATAACTGAGGTTATGAACCAAGGTGACTAAGGTGGTATAATTGACCAAAATAGGTACTTCATAAGGGAGAACCCTGAATTTTACTTAAAAATAATTCTCAAGCATCAACTACTTATAAAAAGGTAGGCTATAAAAAGCATACGTAAAAGAGAAAAAACAATGTTTCAAGGGGATCTACATAATCAAATTCAATTAAAAACAAAGACTCTTCCTTCATCCCTGAACCCAAACACAGAGGTGCTCTTTAGAAATGGAAGCATCAGCATTTTAAATAAGATGATCAGAAGATATTGTTTCTCTATTGCATACAGTCTATAACTAGGCCAGTAGCAAAGTACCTCAGAACTCAGTAGAGACAGTTCTTACTTTACGTAAATTCACATTATGCAATTACTTCATGTAAGAATTCTGAAAGAAATTTGCATTCCAAAAAACCCCACCTATGTTAACTTTATAGTGCTATGCTCTCTCTCTGCTCCTGCCCTCCTACTCCCCATCCCTCACCAAAAAAAAACCCAACCCCCCCCCAAAAAAAAACCAAAAAACTTCCAAGTGAAAACAGAAGAACAGATAGGCAAAACCACCTCCACAGCTTGAGACCTCAGGTACCAAGAGGAGACCTTTGCTGTCCTGTCCCACGTGTCTGTCTTCTATCCTTCTGTGATCAGGTATTTCATCTCCATGACTGTTCTCTTGTCTTCTGCTG